GTTATAAAAGCCGACAAAAAACGTCGTCACCACATGCCGGTTGCGATACTTTTATACGCCAATACGTTTGTTCTGCCCTTCGTAACGAACTTCCTATAAAATGTATCGGCCGCGCTCGGCGATCAAGGTTTCGTCGGCCGAAGTGAGCCTCAGCTAACGTGCAGCTACGCAAACGAAACATTAATCGGCATCATGCTCTGCGTGAGTGTTCAACCGGCTTACAAAGTCGCGTTCATACCCTGCCTTGCTCTGTTGAGCACGGACAGGACTATCGTTAATATTACCGAGTTTTCGTGCAACGGAGATCAAGACACGGCGTCAAATGAACGCTTACGTTACGTTCATTTGACGCCGTATAAAAGTATCGCAATCGGCGTGCGTTGACGTTTTTTGTCGGCTTTTATAACAGTCGCTATCTTTTGGGTATACGCACTAACTCTTGCTACATATGCTGGATAACTACCACATATACAGAATTAAAACAAAATCAGCTTACCTCCTATCTTTAGACGGCTAGCGCAACAGAGGTAGGTGCTGCTCGGCCTGCGTACTCGTTGAACGAGAACGATCCTGACGTCACATTCACATAGTGGCTGATTTCCAGTGTTGCCGGGGCCTCGAGCGGCTAGTTTCGGTTTTGTTGGCCGCGCCCAAAACAAAACTTTAAAGGGTTGATATCTTTAAAACTACGCACAATAACGAGAAAAAAATTACACCTTGCAATTCAGGGATGCTGACGGCACTAAAAACAGTCATAATCCCAAAATCGAAAGTATAAACCGGAGTTGCCCTTTCTGGTCAGGAACTATTTTAGACGCATGGGCCCCGAAAAAGTAAAATTATTTGGACGTACAAAGGTAACGTCTCGCACTGAACATAAGAACAGGAAAGTCCGGGAGATTGTTTATGTACAAACTCCCGAACAATGTTTGTGCCGGAGCGGCTCCGCGGCCGCTGTCTTGCGCAGTCGTTTCATATACATCACTACTTTCACTCAAGTCAAAGACATTGCCTTTCCATCATCTGATGGAGGGATATAGTCTTCTTCACTGAAATCGTCGTCACTTTCAGTTACATCACGCAGAGAGTTACATTAAACGAGCGTGGCTGGAATGTGGCTATAACCGTCGTGCCAGCGAAGTTGAAACTTGCGCACTCCTCCGTTGCGCAAAAAAAACGTGACGTAGAACATGTATTTTTTCTTTTTTTTTTTTTTATGACAAATCCTGTCCTCCATGAGAAGAAACTCAAACCCTTTCAAAAGTGATGTGATTGAAGTGTTTTCCAAGAGATGGTGCCACCAATCCAGCAAAAAGAGCGAAGGAGCATGTTTAAAAGGAAGCGGGAACGCATGTCAGGCGACGCCCGACTCCTAACCGGAAACGCTTTTCTTCGATGTCAGGCCGACCCATGACCGCAAAGGGTTACAAAAAACAAGCACAACGTTTTTGTGAGTGATGTTTTTAAAAAATAACTGTGGCTCAAAGTTGCCTTTTATATTAAAAAAAACAAAAAACTAAAATGTTCAAAAACAAGTTTGGAGCTTCACATTACAGCTTGGGCGGCGTGCATCAGGGCTGTTCACCACCTCTCCGATTCCTTTCTTTTTTTCTCCGGATCTTTAGAGGCTGCCGCAGAAAAAGGTTCTGCGTTCACCAAAGTAAATGTCGTGCTGTCTTGGCTGTGCAGGCATGCAACATTGTGTTCCAAAGCGCCGCACACTTAATTTAGCTACACTGAGCTCGCCACTACCGACGCTTCTATCCAAGTGTGACTCGACAGTTGCTGACGAGCAAATGCTCTTCAGCAACTGTCGAGTCAAACTTGGATAAAAACGTCGGTATCAACAAGCTCAATGCATCAGTTGCTGACGCATTAGCTCCTCCCGCATGGAATACGCGGCAAAGAAGTTTGTCCCATCGCGGCAAATTCAGGCAATTGATTAATTGGTTCTATCCAATTTTTACTAAGAATTGTTTACAAATGTAAAATTGCTCGCTGAAAAGTGCATCACACATTATGCACAATTGGGACCGAAAAATTAAACATACCAACGGTAGGAATTCATAGCAGGTGTATACCTAATTTTCTGCGAAAGAGAATTTGCTGCGACTGGTTTTGCTCGCGAAAACCTGGTGTGCAAGGTGGTGCTTCGAAACACTGAGGTCTAAGCCACTGCATCAGGATGGATACACTGAGGTTCGAGGACTGACCAATGTAAGACCGCTCGCCACGAAGTAGGACATGACGTTTTGGCAAGCCACTCCGGAAGACGGGAAACTTGTCATCACGTTTTGCGATAATCGGGATGCCGTATTATTCCCCATAAGACGCCTTGGATATGAAGTTACAAACATCCTCAAAATCGGCATAAAATTTCGTGGTGCTCACCTAGAATTCCTCGAACGACCCAAAAAAAAGGAACGATTTGAGAATTCTAAGTTCGAAAAATGTTTAATGTTGATTGTCATGACTGTTTGCGGAAAGTTGCCAATGGCAAATGAAGACTAGATGAAGCTTTAATCAAGAAATAGAGCAATCGTCTCCACTTTCACCGTGTTTATCTCCACGTTTTACGCTCAAAGAGCAAAGCACGAAAAGTGTTTCGTTGACAACTCCAGTGCCACTAGGAAACAAGCTTCCTTGTCCCCATGTTCTGCGTCGTGTCCGCCAGTTGGGACGGCGGACTCTGACAAACAGGCTGTCTCTCGTTGTCAAGTGTCGCTGTCGTTTGTTGCTGTTTTGTCGCTCTAGTGGGACGTGGCTATTAGGTTAGGTGGCGCAAGCTACGACTTGTTACAAAGGGTACAGCCATTTACACCCATCCATCCATTCAGGGGGAATTCCTCTAGCTACCTCGCTTTCATTGCCCTCGTGGACAATGAAAGCGAGGCCCATAGCTTTCAGTTACAAAATAATAGTACAAATCCAACTCCAACTCCAAGTACAAATAATACGGTCCAGACTAGAAACCTGAAGTGTTTTTTATCCCGACTCAGAAGTGCAATGACTTGCCCTGATTGAATGCTGATGAGTTAAACGGTAAGACATTGATTGTGAATGACCCGAGATTTGCAAGGAAACTGGGATGACATTTTAGGGGCGAAGCTCCTTAGGGTCTAGCCTTGTCCGGCGTCCGTGCTCACATCGATCGCACTGCCTCCGGGATCGGCCTACTTTAAGAAAAAAAACGTACGCCCGCACGGGGTTCCAACTCGGGACCGCTTGCTTAAGAGGCAGACGTCTTAACCACTATGCTACACTCCAACGTTGCATGTAGCCGCTCAACGTCTGTACAGGAGAGGGTGCTACGGTCGAATGCTCAACTGCATATATAACCACGATCCATACCACACATTCTCTTTCTGACGTGGACCGTTGACTGAAACGTTGGAGATGCGTTCCCAAAGCTTCCAGCAGATCCAAGCTGATCCGCTAGAGCCACTGGCTCTGCATGTCACTGACCATAAAGCAGCAATAATGAAGTCGAAACGCTACCCGGAGCTCGGCACTACCTATGAGCAATAAAAAAAATATCAGCACCATCAGCAGTACCTATGAACAATAAAATCAGTATCATCAGCACCACCAGAGCTTCGCCCCAATCAACATCATTCACCACGTAGAGATCTGGCCACTTTTTTTAGGACTATTGACCTTCAACAACTACCAAACTTATAGTTGTATATTACATTCTTTTTTATATTTTTTGCATTGGGTGATTGAAATAGTATAGTTTAGTGAATAAATCCAAATTGACAAAAATTTTATGGGTGGACGTTTTTCTGGGTTTATTAAAAAACACAGAATCCTAGTATACTTAGGCATTCAGTTCACTGCTATCAGACGTCAAACTTCCTGATCATTATCCAATTCAACTGAAAACAAAAAGAGTCATTTTTAAATTACTTGAAACCCTTAAAGGGTGAGCACTAAGCCGCTTGGAATGATTTCATATTGCGACTAACTTAAAAATTTTCAAGATTTTGCATCATGACCCTTGAACTAAAGCAGAAACGTGCCGAGTGTTCTTCAGATACACAAAAAAAAAAGTCTCAAAATACTACGCAAACATGTCTCATCTGGTGTCAAATTGCTCGATCACAGTGCTTGCACGCAACCTACTGTCTCATGAAAGCAGTTCACCAAATGACAAGGCCTAAAACCCCTCCCTTTCTTGATACCGTGACCTCCGTTCGAAATCGGGATGCCGATTCAAACACCTTAGCCCTAATCTCTAAAATGACAAACTTTATTGAAAATAAAAACAAACAAACATTAAAAGTGATATGCTGAAAGACGCAAGAAAAAAAAAAAAAAGGCAAAAGTGCTTGAACTTTAGGCGCAATACGAAAACGGACAAATAATAATAATAATATATTTTATTTCCATCACACTCGATGGCGGCGACCAAGGGAAAAAGCTGCATACACAGCTTGACGAGCCCTTGACTATTTACAGTGCACGGCGAAGGAACACAACAGGAAAAACAGAAAAAGAGAGGAGAAAAAAACACACACACACAGAGGATGCAATACGTAAAAATTCACCATGACAGATAAAGCAATATAATCAAATAAAATACGAAAACAGTGATTTTAACTAATTATCATGACTACCCATAATATATAATAAACGGATTTCCCCTATTGACATTTTATTCCAGTCCAAGTTTTTCGATTCATGAAGATTTAGTAAATTAGGAATATTGTACCTCAGCATTTAAGTGCCATAATTTGTTCTTGGCGTGACCACCCCCCAACATTCAGCGCCACGAGTAGGATGAATAATATTTTTGGAGAGGCGGCCAAGGGTTACTATACTCGGCGACAACTTTTCTTGGCAATGCAGTGGAAGGTACGTCCCGCGTCCCCTCTCCCATTTTGAGTGTATGCAGGCTCTCCTCCTCTCCCATTTCCGGGGAGAGGAGGAGAGCCTGCGTACACTCAAAATGGGAGAGGGGACGCGGGCCTGTACCTTCCACTGCATTGCCAAGAAAAGTTGTCGCGGAGTGTAGGAAGCTTGTGTTCCTAATTAGCTCTATCTTAAGGCTTGTACTGAGCCTGTAAGAATACAAAATGTGCACATTGATAATGCGGAACTTTTTGAATAGGTCGGATGTATGCGATTGAAATGGGACATCGGCTATAGCTCTTATTGCTTTATTTTGTTGTAACAAATGAACCCTTTCAAGATTCGTTGAAGTGGTGGTACCCCAAACTAAATTACAATAATTTAAGTGCGAGTAGAACAAGGAATTATAAACTAGTAACTTGACGTGTATCGGTAAGGTATAACAATGGCGGTTTAACATGCCGACAGTTCTAGACAGCTTTGTAATAATGTAGTTAACATGTTCATCCCATGACATATCCGAAAAAATGACGCCTAGAATTTTAAAGGAATTTACAATCTCAATCTCGGCTGAGTCTAAACTAAGATCTCTCATAATGTTGATTATTTCATTTTTAGGGCGAAAGAGCACTGCTTTTGATTTTTCTGTGTTTATTTGAAGTGCATTATATGTACTCCACAAATTCAACCCGGAAAGCATTCGGTTTGCCTTATCAATTAATAAGTCGGTATTTTCTGCAGAGAAAAATATACTTGTGTCGTCAGCATAATTTACAAATTTCGCTTCTGAATCTTTGTTGATTATGTCATTTATGTATATGTTAAAGAGAAAGGGACCCAGTATACTACCTTGCAGTACACCAAAGTAAACGTATTGCAATCAATACTCCAGGTATGACTTTATTAGCTGCAAGGCATGCCCTCGGAAACCGTAAGTGTCCAATTTTGCTAGAAGTATTTTATGATTAAGGCAGTCAAACGCCTTTGAGAAGTCGACAAACACACCGAGAACCAGTTTTTTTTTTCTCGAAGTTTTGGAGAATAAATTTGTTTATAGATAATAAGGCAGCCTCGGTAGACCTATTTTTCATAAATCCAAACCGTGAGGTATTTATTAAGTTATATTTGTTTGAAAACGTCATAATTCGAGTATAAAGTATTTTTTCGAGAGCTTTAGAGAAAACTGGGAGTATAGAAACAGGCCGATAATTCCCCATTTCGTTTACGCTTCCTTTTTTATGCAATACTAACACCTTAGCTATCTGCATTTTCTTTGGAAATACGCTCGTGGATAAAGAGAAATTAAAAACATGAAATAACGCCGGCGCTATCAAGCGAACAACGTACTTGACGGGTCTTATCTGAATACCATCCGCGTCACAGCTTCCACTATTGTTTAATTGTAAAATTATGGAATTTACTTCTGGTTCGACCACCGGCTCTAAAAATATGGAGTCATTGTTTCTTTTGTCGCTAAAAGCAGAAGAATGTAGAGTCTCATCATTACTTGCAATATTGATAAAATGCTCGTTAAAGGCATTTGCTAAAGAATATCCGGTAAGTTCAGTACCATTGAAAAAAATGTTGTCGATAGAGCTTGAGGGTTGTTTACGATTGAGAATATGACACCAGTCCGCAGGTCGGAGCAGGTCGCATGCTTCCGAATGCGGGTTGCGTGTCCGGTAAAAACGCAAACGCAACATTGTCGTCGAAAAACAAAAAGCACGAGTTGACAGTTAAAACACTAAAAAGGCGCGAGGAAGAGAGTGAGAATATCGATGAGTGAACGACTTCATCCACACACAACCGCGGACGCAACAAACCGGAACGCGATCGAACCTGCGAGGCGACGCTTCCGAACGCTCGTCCTCCGCAAAGGAACATTACGCGTTGGCGAACGCGGGTCGCATGTCCGGTAACATCGCAAACGCAACTTTGTCGTCGAAAAGCAAAAAGCACGAGTTGACAGTTAAAACACTAAAAAGATAGGAGGAAGAGAGTGAGATTGTCGACGAGTGAATGTATTCGTCCGCACATGGCCGCGGACGCAAAAAACTGAAATGCGATCGAACCTGCGAGGCGGCGCTTTCCTGCCTCTTGGGCCCGCGACCGCACATTCGTCCCCGAGCCGACAGTGCGGCGACAAGCTTCCACCGCACTGTCAGCTTGGGGGCGAACAAAGTGTTGGAAATGCAACGATGAAAAGCAAACTATCTACAATGTCGGAGAAATGAAGCTATGTACAGAGCACCGTCGGCGTCTGAAGGAAGTGGGCGGCTTCAGAAGGATGTGGCGAGGGAGGCGCCGAAGGCCTTGAGGAGGTTCTGGAGGAAAATCATGTCTTGCTTCATCAGGGTCTTTCTCTTGGCGTGGAGGGAACACTGGTAACTCGCAGACAGGAAATTCATCACGAAGACCTCCGACGCCTCCTGGAAAAGAGGTGACGCCCGTTAAACGCCGACGAATCGAGTCGACACGTTAGAACCGGGACAGTCTCACAATTTTAATGTCGAAAAATTTACGGCCCGCATTTTTTATATTGTTTCTATTGACACAAGAGGAGAAAATGTGCCACCTTCGTTCAAAATGCTGCAAATTTGCTGCATACGGTAGAATCTCGATGATACGACGACGGTTCGTCCGAATTTCGGTACGATACAAATTTTTCGAAATTCCCGGCCGAAGTTCGTTAAGACTTATCTATTACGTTTCGGGATAGTCTCCGAATGCTTTCTCGGCCGCGGTGGATCATGTGAACGATCATCAACATTTACACATCCTGTGGGGTGCCATCACTTGGCTCCTACAACTGTAGCAGGCTTTTTGAGTCATTTCTCTCGCCGTTCTTTCTACATACGCACCATGCAATCTCGATAACCGTAGGTGCGTTCCAAATCTCGAAAACATACCCACGTCCAGCGCTGCTCTGTGTTGTCGCGTGATGAGAATTTGGCTCGCTGGAGTAACTCGCGTTCGCTTACTCCAGGGTTGCTGCTTTATATTTATTGTCATGCGATAAATGGGTTTCAGTAACTCTGACTGACTCAAGTGAACGTGAGAAATGACATACAGAAGTGACGTTGATCATGGAATCAACGCTTATCTAACGGCTTTTGCAAGTGTGAATTCGCAAATCCTACAGTGGCTGCTCCTCCGGAACCAGAGGAAAACTTGAGAATTGAGGACTGAGACCTGCTTTGGCTGAGAAATCGGCCTTTGATTTCATTACTGCAGATGACAGCCTCGCTTGTCGAGGCAATTGCTGACGAAGTGACGGCACCGCAAGGACGGTCAAGTAGCGGAGATAATGACGGCGACGTAAACTAATAACAAACAGCAACCGACGACTGCTGAAACACTGCATGCACTCAATGTGCTGCGCCGCATAGTGAGGCCGAGACCAACGTCAGCGACAACAGGTACGCTCGTTCTTTCGTGTTCTAAAAGTGCCGTTTGGGTGACATCGAAAAAAAGAAGACTCGGAAGAACAGTACCGACTTCCTTAGATGGGGGTGTGACCAATAAATTGCACGTATAGCCGCCCCTTTGCTTTAACGTAGTTATGCGACTTGTTTTTTGTTAGTATAAATATTGGACGACACATATATTTCCTGCAATCCCTCGAGATTCATATCACCGATATTCTACTGCAATTGCAAAAAACAAAACCATATTTTTTTTAATTTGCAGTTTTGTGTGGTTGTCATCGGAACTATGCTGTGACCTTTTTTGCGGTACGCGGGTTTTTGCGGCGCTATCTATCCATCTACCAGAAATAAGGGAAACCGTTTCCTCTCCTTCGGTACCTTTAACGTCTTTCCCTGCGGCAAGCCGTCCCCCCTCGATCCCTCGCCGCAACCTTCGACGATGGCAAGCGTGACCTTGAAAAGTTGACCAACGTGCAGGGAAGGCTGCTGGTCCCAAAGACGACACCGAACCTCACTCGAAACACTTCTACTTGTTCAATCTCTCTGTAGATTAAAAACTAGCGCACGCAAGAAAGAAAGGGTTCCCGCTCCTCGTATTATGGGTGGCCTCGACTAATTCCCACAAATAATTGGCCAAAGTTAGAAAATCGTTGCACCGCCTCTTTAAAGGGAAGACACCGCTCTTTCATGTAATGGAGGACCGGCGGTTGGGTCTGTTAGTGCACTGCGGCTCGGAGAGTGAGAGCGCAAGCTCACACAGCAAGACCCAAGGTTCCTGGTTCTTGCGATCCTCCCCACTCTTGCCCGTTTCGATCTGGACAAGCATCCTACCGGCGTGCGGTCGTGTTTCACCAAGCGGCGTATGCCGAAGACCCAAGGCTAGCAGTGGTACTGACCAAATAGGCCACGTAAATCGATTCAGTCACAGGCCTACCTGGCCTACGACTGAATAGGCATGTACTGACGAAAAAAAGGACTACCGTAAAATCCGAAGACATGCCCCACCCGAGAAGAGTAACCCATTCCTATTTCTGGCTCGAAGTGCTATTTCATTTGAAACACCGAAAGATAGCCCACTGATAGTAATCATAGTTTCGGATCAATGATGACCGTGGCGTAAATGCGTCTAGTTAGCTATGGCGAGATGTAAGCGAACACTGCTGATTGGAAAGTACAGTCATCTTTGCTTCATTGCCCCTTGCCGCGATAATAACTTTGCCAGGGACGCACAATAAAAAAATAGCATTTTTTCAACTTGCCTCGACTGCACACCAAAAGTTAGCCCACCCCTCAATTTCACCCAATTTTCTAACTATTTTAGGTCGACTATCTCTCAGGACTTTACGGTATGTGGGCCAACGTCGACGGAGAGACGACGCGGGTCGTTGCCGACGGGGCGCCACGACAGCGACCGAAAGACGAGGCAGGCCCACCTGTAGCGCCTGCAAGGCGAGCCCCTGCATGTAGTAGCAGTCGGAGCGACTGGGGGCCAAACCCTGCAGTATTTCCCTCACCACCCGCGCAAACGACAGCCGCGGAATGAGGAGCCGCGTAGTCCTCTGGAGGTGACGGATGTTCTTCAGCCAGGGTGGGGTGCGATGCTTCGACCTTTGATTGCCCTGGGCAGAAGAGGAGTGGCAACCGCGCTGATTAGCTCCTGCCGATTGACCTCCACCGGGCTAAAGTGTCAACCGCCATTTTTAAAAAGAAAGCTGATGGCGACTTTTTTTCTTCTAAAGTCTTACGCTCCATGAAATGCGGTATTTCAGGAGCGGTCATCTAAATTTGCTTAGAAGACACTTAATGGTTTTCTCGGAAAGAAGCTATACATTTATTAATTTTACCGCTAAACCTGGCGGGAAATGCACCGATGGGCAGACGGATGGGCGAAATCTTGCAATTGGTGGAGCTCCGTTGAAAAGCATTTCGCACCTTCAAAAAAAAAGAACTCTAGCGATTTCTGCAGTTAGGCAAATCAATACCAATAAACAAAAAAAAAGCTCTTCTTGCATTGTTGTGCCATAGGTAGACTTAACACAGAATGCATTGCATACTGCTTTGCACTGACACTGCCGGGAGGAACTCTCCACAAGTCTTGCGCCTCGACGGCATGAATGTTGTCGTGCGCTACATCTCTGCAAGAAAGCCCCGCCAAAAGCGGAGCAAGCCTTGCCCGCGCACCGAAAGTGGTCTTTAAGTGGCAATGAACACACCGCGTCTAAGACACCGCCCTTCTGTGATGCCATCGGGTGGAAATCGAGGGACCATTTTTCTTGTGACGCGGTAAATGCGCCGATTGGTGAACTGTTTTACTCCCATCAGGGCGGTGGGAGTAAATGCGAAGTTCGTGCACGCAATCGACAACTACAAGTTACCTGTCTGCTACAATTTCTTAAAATTATGCGATTTCTCGTTTGTTTGAGCAGTATTTATGGTCCGTGGCAGGCCGTGGCTGAAAACAGTTCCGAGATACCGTAATAAAATTAACTTCTTTGGGGAGAGGGGATTCTTAAAAACCCTTACATTTAATGCTTTTTAGAGAACATCGAGACAATGTCTACAGGGCGTCCCAGATTACTTGCACCAAACTTTAAAAAAAGCAAACGGAGTCCTCCAGGGAAGTAAAACCAACTGTACGTCGTTAGCAAGCGTCTTAACATAGTTGCCACATTTTTCTCGATCTGCCCAATTATTCGGTCGATTAAGACCAATTAGTTAACTTCAGTTATTCCTTTAAGGGCTGAGTTGTGAATTGGAAAGCGCCCCATTTCTTTCTTTTACGATTTGGTCCCAGACGCCTGAAATATATATCTTCTAACCTGTTTACAATCCACGCACTAAATACTTTCAAATGGCGCTCATTTACACCTACGCAACGACGCGTTTGATTGCACGGTGCCCCACACACCGTACAAAAATCGCAGGAAGTTGCATCTCTCCATTGTAACCATTACACCCGCTGTTGCCGGGTACCATTAATGGTGCCCGCGAGACAGCCGGGGAAACGTCGCTACTCATGAGCGACGCTCCTTCGGCGGCTTCGGCGCCCGCGTCGCACAGTTTCAAGATGGCGGCACCCATGCAACCGGGTGGGTAAAGATGGGAGCAGAGCACGAAAAATCGTGAGCGCCGACTTTGCCGGTCCCGAGAAAAGGGACGATAAAGACGGCGGCAAAGAAGAGGGGAGAGAAAGCAGACGGAGGGTTAGCCGTGCGCTTTTTTCTGCAGCGACTGGAGGTCGTTGGAGCTCTGGTCGACTTTGTTTTCATGGCATAAACAACGCTGACTTTTTTTTTTTTGCATGGCAGGTTTGAAAAGAGGGCAGCTTCGACCTCACCGGCGACGTTCTGCCGCTTCTCCGCGTACATTAAGGAGCTGCCGGCTACACGGGCTTGTCGGCACCTTCCTCCGGTACCTCCGACGTCCGCGTCTGCGCCGCCCCGCCATACCGAAGTGGCCGGGATGCGTGGGTCCTTTTCCTCCTACTCTTGGCATATCTAGTTGAGCGGCTTTAGTGGCCGTATTTTGCAAGATGGCGGCACCCACGCAAAGGCTGCGAGGAAAGGGCCACTTACCTTCCTGGGAGAGGTAGACTTTCGCCTCCTGCCGGGTCCCTTTGATGCCGAAGGCTCCGGTGCCGGTGGATTTGGAGCTCGGCGTGCCGCCGCCGATGGCTGTGCGGGAGCTTGGTGCGCCGGGGTCGGCGGACGTCTTTCTGGCGTAGGTTTGGCCCCTAAAGAGAGGTTAAGGTAAGTAAGAAAAACCCAAAAAACGTTAAAAAAAAAAAAAATAATAATAATAAATAAATAAAGAAAGAGTTTTTTTTTTAGTGTTTTGTTTGAGGTAAGGCAGTCTCGCAAATCCACGTTTGGGAACTGTTTCGGCATGAATTGACAAACGACATAAGCTAAGGCCCCGGCGAGCCAACTAGGGCCTTAAAGGGGTTATGACACGCCAAAAATAAAATATGAGATAATTATACTGCTAGGACCCATTGTATGTTCCTATAATCCTGCTGAATTTGTGTTGAAAATGGCGCGATAGTTTCGTGGATAAATCAATTTATATGCGGGCCCCTGGGAGGGGCAGATCCGGGCAAAGCTGGAGGCTGGCTACGCAGCCAGCCTCCAGCGCGGTGTCTCCTTGCACGCACTCACAGACTTGGCTCTCTTGGCGCATCGAGCCTCAGCTTCCTCGTTTACCTTCCACGTTTCGAGCATGCGGTCCGTGACGATTACGTCTACTGCATCGCTCGCCTTGTCGAAGTGTTCGACATCGATTGCAGCAGCGATGAGAGTGATTGCTATCAAGAGGTGTTGGAAGCTGTTCCTTTTTGACTGCGACCCGCTGGCGACCAGCTTCAGCAACGACGAGTTACGGACGAACTCGCCGTAATCACAGTCGTCCGGAAATATCTCGCAGGCGCATGCAGGGTGGAAGGTCGACGGGCCGGGAGCGAGAGTGAGAATAGCTTTCGGGTTACCGAGTTGCGTGAGCGGTTTTGATTGTACTGCAACGAGTAGAGCTTCGGCGATCATGGGGGCGCCTAGAATGAGAGAGTGTTCATGGTCACGTGGTTTAAGGACACCATGGTGTGACTAACTTGGGCAGTGTTGCCAGGTCGCCAGAGGGAAATGATAAAAATTCGTAAATTGAATGTTGCAGTTACCAGAGCTCTAAAATTCGCGTACCTTGGTGTATATACTAGGCAGACTATGAGCATTTCAAGAATAATCTATTCGTTCAATTTTCGTGTCATAACCCCTTTAACCTGGACACTTGGAGAAAGAGACGACGAGAAATCCTGCGGCCGTTATCGGTCAACGTCGCACTTGACCTTGGGACCGTTCAATCACAGCCGCCAGATTTCTTGCAGACTTTTTCGCCGAGTGTCCAGATCAGGGCCCCTGGAATGTCTGACCGAGGCACGTGACAACGCCCTGTCGATGCACACTCGCTCCGACCTCGCTTGTGGCTCGGTGGCCGCGGAGAGTCAGATGCAGTCGCCGAAGGCTACGAAAACAAAAGGTGCTTTGCTGTGTAAAAGTGCGCTGTCGTCTTATGTGGCACGATTTGGTCATTTCTCTAAGTAATGGTAGCTAGAAGACAGACAAGGTATAAGTGCCTTACAAGTTGATTCTGTTAAATAGTTTGTCAGCGAGAGTAAATTAACTACTCTGTGGCTACTTGACTTCGTCCAATGTTTGCCACCACCGCTGAAATCAACTGATGCATCTCTGATTACCCCTGGGGCAATGCTTACCAGTTTAAAATTTAAAAATAAGGGAACATAAAGGCATCGTGAAAGGCTAGAGGGATTGTCCGGTCAAATTTTGTATTCGAGAAAACAATTGAATATCGTTGTTACTGCCTCGAGATGCATCGTACGTGCAATATCTGAATTTTATATGCCCCTCTGCGTGAGTAATTGAATTTATACTGCTTCAATCGCATTCTAACGTAAACGCTGCTTTCATTGGCAACATTGAAGCTCTGATGTCACAAAACACAAAGCAAGCATTTCTGCCTCGTCGTTTCCCTGCGAGTAAACGCCTAAACGAGCTTCGTTTTTGTTGTTCTGCTCAACTTGTTTCGTGGTTGGGCGAAATTTTTGTTGCGCAATTGGGTGCCACAATCACTGGGCAGCACCTGCGAGCCAAGACATGACATTCCACTCTTTTCCGCGAGACGTACAGTGACGAGCAAAGTGGATCGTTGCCGTGCGTAGGGACTAGGTTCCCGTCAAAATCGAGATCCCGTTTACGCAACAATCATCTCGCAGAAGACAGCTACGAGCTAAACTCTGAGCGGACAAAAGGCTTGTAAGCTGAGGTGCGACGTTGTGCCAACGACATCAAACTACGTCCGTTCAATCCTCGGCCAAATCGGGTCAATTTGATTATGCAGCGAAACCGAAAGCAGCAGCTAGGCCACCTGGAAACGATACCAGAGGTTGTATTTAGAACGCGTGCAGCCCGATTCTGTTTGACCCGCGTGTGAAAATGGAGCGTGACTACGATTCATTAAGCTTGTCGAAGTCAAGTGACGACATGCATTTGAACGATTCGCCATTTGCCTTCAAACCGCGGACGTCGCCTCTAAGGAAATGACCCGCAGCCTCATCATTGCTCCAGCGGATCCGCCGACATGTGTACCCAGATGCCGCTTCAGAGGCGAAATCTGCAGCCTTTGATTTGCAAGCGCCCCTAGTTCGATCGGTGGCCGTCGCAGTTGTGTTTCAGCAAAATGGCATACGTTTGCTCGAAACCTATGGCTGTTTGCGAGTAATATCCTGCTAAAAGGCGTGACTTTTCTTGCACATGCTTGGGAACTGCATTAAAAGAACCGTATTTCAGTAGAGTACAGCCTAGGAGAATATTATTCGAAACAAAATCCAAGACATCCATCGACCAACGCTTGTTATCCCGACCATCCGACAAACCTATGTGTTTTGTGACGTTACTCAGCACCTACGGATGTCAGCCATTGACACTGGCAAAATTCGAGGTGCAGTTTCGTACCTACGCTCATGAAAGGTTTAATTAACAAAGGGAGATCATATATCAAAATAAAAATGACGTTTGTTACATGAAAGCTTCCTCGATGTAACGAGCGCAAAAGCTTAAGTACTTCCGGTTTCGACCGGACAATACCTTTAACAAGCGCTTGTGTTCTACTTTGAAAGTACAATTTATTTATATTACAGGGAGTTTTGAGAAACGAGCACCATGTTTTTTGGTTCGGGTAACTAAACTATGCGTCGAAGAAAGCTCAAACTCCGTGAGAACATGATGCTGGCAGTTGGGATAGAATGTGAAAGCTTGAGAACATGACGTTACCTTCATCAAAAGATAATTGAGAAACAAAATTTCTCTGAGCCAACGTCTACGTAAGCATGATGTTGTTAGAACAAGAAATGACACTCATGTAACATCTATTTCAGTGAAAAAAAGAAAAACTTCTCAGCAGAAAAGAAGATATTGTTTTCTTTCTTGCTGACAAGTTTTTTTCACTAAAATAGATACTACAGGTACCCAGTGTCATTTCTCTTTTTGACAACATAAAGCTTAGCTGGACTTTGGCTCCTAGAGAAATTTTTGTTTTTTTCAATAATCTTTTGATCCAGGCGATGTCCCGGTGTCAAACTTTTGCATTCTATCCCAAAAGCCACCGTCACATTGTCACGAAGTTTGAGCTTTCAGCGATGCTTAGTTTTTGTCTACCCAAGCCGAAAAACATGGTTCTCGTTTCTAGGGAACTTCCTGTACTTTACTTCAAGCACGCTGTGCTTGGTGTACTTCTTGCTTTACCTGAAGTACATAACATCCAACTTACTTTTTTTACGTAAAGTACTTTTCAGATGTACTTTACCAAACACTGATTATCTATTAGAAATGGCCGCATATAACAGAGTCAAAACTTTTCAAAGCCAGTGTAGAACGAACAATGTGAAAAACAAGTAGGAAACACAGATGTCAGGAGCATTCCGGGGCCAACCCATAGACGTCGCCATTGCCTTCTCTCGTCGTCAGAGCCATGATGCTGAGAGTTTAGGCATTAATTGGCAAGAATAGGGCTAGAATGAAAGCACGTCATTGGTTGAAATTGGTTCGATGACCTTGGACGCGTTGATTGACAGCATTTGTGACCAACCACCACTCACGAATATTCCTCTAGCAGGGGCAATGAGCTTAACCTATATCCTTCAATCACAATTTCTGGGTAAGGATGTATTCGAGTATTTCATTTCAGCATGCTAGACTTGAAGTTTGCAACTCTTCGCAACCGAAAAGGCAATGCATGCGACGTTCAGAATGCACTTCATCTTTCTTTTGGTTGCAGACACAGCCGCGGCCGAGTGGACGGAAGGGACCGCAGACACAGCTCCGTGGCAATTTGGACCCTAACCCCGAACACGCACCCCACATTCGCAGCTACGCCTCCTGTTTCAGAGAACTTTTCTCGTCAATGTCACCTTCTCTGGCTCAATTAACGGCACTCAGCACCCTGAAACTCCCTATCTCCATCAATCTCTTACCATTATTCATTCATGCACTCTCAGCATCATCCAGAAACTAACAAATACCTGTGCCACGATCGCGCCTCCTTCAAGGTTAACTCCGGTTCTTTTTATTTTGCAGAATCATCACAGGGCGCAGCTTTCGCCGCTCCGCCCTGGTTTCCATCAGGTCCTCCCATTGACCAAACTCTTTCTATGTACAGCCCTGCTCGTTGTAAGAGATCACAAGAACTCATTCGTAAGCAAATGCAAGTGTGCAAACCAGCCTTAAAGGGGCCACTAAAGTGGATTTCGAGACTGTCGTTTAATGCTGCGAACCCAACACATGCGCACTATGGGCATCTTACAAAACCCAAAATTGTCATTGTGTGGAACAATTCTTTTTTTTACCATTAAAAGAGCAACCAAATGTCTCGACACGCCCCACTTACGAGACATCTTGGAAAAGGGGCGCGCCGCAATGCCCATTCGCGTTTTCAACGAAGAAAGAGGCCACGCATGGCTGTACTTTTGTGTTTTGCGACAAACCTTAGTGTCCCCCTTTAGGGCTGCAAGCCGACCTGTCCTAACCCGCGACGACCCACCTGCGGAACGGCGCTGGACGCTGGGCGCAGACACTGCGGGCCCCTCGTCGTCCCCGGAAGACGGCGAAGACGGTTCTTGTCCCGCCTGCGGAGGTCGTTCCGCCGACGACCTTGC